TCTCAAGCTCCGTTCATTTCAGCTTTGTGCTGCAGGAAAACTGACCAGGCCAGGGTGCAAGGAAGATGAAGTTAAAACAGCATAGGCTTTAGCACCAGCTGATGCATCAGAATTCTAGTCCAGAGAACTCAGCAGACATCTGTGGACCCGGGAATTGAGAGTCATGAGCATTGCATGTAACATGGAGCGATGGCTTCCCAAACAGGACCCGATAGACCTGCTTCTCCTCCTGAGAGGAAATACCTGTGTGAGCTCGGGAACCAGCCTGGCCTGATTTCAGGTTTTCAAATGTCATCTGTTTTCTGCTTACCAAAGTAACACCCGCTCACCGTAGAAAATGTAGGAAACATGCAAAGTGACAAAGAAGGAAATAGAAATCATTTGCAATCCCATCCCCTCCCTCCCTCGGAAAGCCACAGGAGTACCGAGATGTATTGTCTGCTGGTGTTTCAGGTGTGAACTCACACACAATCAGAAGCTGATTACAGTCTGATGCGTGTGTGCATGCTGAGTTGCTTCAGTCATGTCCAACTCTTTGTGACCCTGGGGACCATAGCCCACCAGGCTCCTCTGACCATGGGGTTCTCCAGGCAAAAATACTGGAGTGGGTTGCTGTGCCCTCCTCCAGGGCATCTTCCCAACCCAGGAACCATACCCAAGTCTTTTAGTCTCCTGCATTGGCAAGTGGATTCTTTACCACTGATGCCACCTGGGAAGTCCGTAGTCTGACAATAATCTGCTTGGGTCCCCATAATGGAGTGTGGGGCTTTAACTACAAGCATTTATTTATTTCCTCACAATTTTGGAGGTTAGAAGTCCAGTATCAAGATGCCAGCAGGATCAGTTTCTGGTGAGATCCCTCTTCCTGGCTTGTAGATGGTTGACTTATCACTGTGTCCTCATGTGATAGAGAGAACTCCGGGGTCTATTGCTCCTTTTATAAGGGCACTAACCGTATGTGATTAGGGCCCCACCCTTCTGACCTCATTTAATTTTAATTTCCCCTCTAAGGAAACTGTCTCCAAATACAGTTGCATTGAGTGTTAGGGTTTCAACACATGAATTTCAGACTCACACAATTCAGTCCATAGCTCTATAACACATACCATTTGGTGTCCTACTTTTTTACAATCCATATTCTAACCTATATTCACCTGTTGGACTCCAGAGCTGGATATCTCTGAGTTCCAGTCCCAGTCAGCTTTGGGCAGCCCTGTGACTCTGGGCAAGATTCTTAATATCGCTGAGCCTCCATTTCCTCGTCTTTAAAGTGAAGGGGATGGTAATACGAGCTCTGGTAGCCATTCAAAGGTCAAATGAGATACCCATTGGCATACAGCAAACGCTCACTAATTTTGGTCTTTTCTTTTGTATTAGGAACATTCCCCAGGGCTTGAAATAGCCTCTGACAACAAAATGTTTAGTCGCTAAGTCATGTCTGACTCTTGTGACCTCATGAACTATAGCCCTCCAGGCTCCTCTGTTCATGGGATTTCCCAGGCAAGAATACTGGAGTGGGTTGCCATTTCCTTCTCCAAGGGTCTTCCCAACCCGGGGACCAAACCGCATCTCCTGTGTCTCTTGCATTGCAGACAGATTCTTTATTGCTGAGACACAGGGAAGACATATTTAATGGCTTTATAATACCCCATAGCATGATTGTGTCTAATTTCCATAACTATCCTGCAAGATGATCTGATGGCAGAGAGAAGTTACAAGAAGGAAGGTGGGGACTTCCCTGGTGGCCCAGTGGTTAAGCCTCCCAGCTTCCACTGGCAGCAGAGTGTACAAGTTCAATCCCTGGTCCAGGGAACTAAGATTCATCATGCCATGCAGCCCAAAAAAGAAGAAGTTCTTGAACTGAATAAAAATGAAAATGCAACATATCAACAGTAAATTATTTTTAAAAAGTTACAGAAGGCAGCCCTGAGACTTCTGAAGCCAGCAGGCATCAGGTTAACTCAGAGCTGCAGGGCTGCTGGAAACCTGGCAGGCAGCTCCCCGCGTTCGGGATCCTTGCCCTGGCAGGGCAGCCTCACAGCAGTGCTCCAGTCAGATGGAGACAAGGAGGTCGGGAGGGGGTGGGCGCAGTGAGAGCCAGGGTGAAGGGTCTGGCGGGACAGATTCATGAGGCGGGAAGACACAGGAAGTTAAATATTCATCCTGTGGATAAGCAGAGGCCAAGGGGGGACGCTCCGTCCAGGAAGAGCATCACTGAGTGGGAGGTGCGGTGTGAAGAGAAGGGGGACTTGTGAGCTGAAGAAGTTCTGGGTGAGCTTTCAGGAAACAGTCTTCGAGATGCTGGGAGCCAGTGGTGGGGAATGTTGCCCACGCTGGGCATCACTGGTGGGACGCAGGTGCCTCCATCCTTGTCCAGACCGCTGCCCTCTTCTGCCAGCCAGGCACGGCTTCCTGCCTGCCGCCCCCCACCCCACCGTGCCCTGGCTCTGGTCTCCCAGACAAAGCATCCTCCATGGAGCAGCCACGATGACATATAAAATACGAGCCAGAGCAGGACACCTCTGACCTTCCCAGGGCTTCCAGAACAGAATCCAGCCTCTGTGTCCAGTCTGGCCTCCTCCTGCCCTCTCTTCTCATCTCATCTCAGACCTCATCGGTTGAGCTCTTCTTGGCTCAGGGGTGTCTTCCCTCATTCTCTTGTCTCCTCCAGAAGGTTCTCCCCTCTTGATGCTCTTGCAGGTCTCAGATTTAAATTGTTCTTCCTGGAAGCCTGTCCTGCTCCCCGCTCAGACTGAGACCCCACCGTCCCCTCTCCTTTGTAGAGCACGTGCTTACCGATGACAACTGACATTGATGTTATAATTTAAAAGACTGGTGTGATTATTATTTTAAGATTAAGTCTTTGTGGAGTTTTAGGTTTTAGGTTTACAGAAAATTGAGTGGATTGCACAGAGGGCTCCTAATACCTAGGTTATTAACATCTTGCTTTCCTGTGATACCTTTGTTATAGCTGATGAACCGATACTGATACGTCATCATCAACTCAAGTCCACAGTTGAGGTTAGGGCTCTATCTTGATGCTCTCTGGGTTCTGTGGGTTTTGACAAATGCATAACATCATGGGTCCACCATGACAGTGTCATACTGATCACTCCACTGCCCTTAAAATCCCCTGGGCTCCACCTATGAATCAGCCACCTCCCCCTCCCCCACCACTGATTTTCTTTTTTTTTCCCTTGTTTCCCTGCTGGACGCTATGCTCCAGCAGAACAAGGACCCCATCTGTTTTATCAACCATTGTACTTGCCATTCCCAGCTCAGAGTCTGGCACATAACAGGTGCCCTATAAATATTTGTCTTTGCTTACTTTAATAAAAAGAAAATTCTACCAAACACGGTATTCTGCTTTTCACAAATATTGACAATATATCTTGGAACTCTTCCCATATCAGAATGTAGAGCACTCTCTAACTTTTATTACAGAGGTTTTCCAACATGCATACAAAAATAGAATCTACTGTAATGAACTGCCACATACCTGTCACCCAACTTCAGCAATTAACTCATAGCCTTTCTCATTTTGTCTGCACTTCTCCCCAGGTTCTCCCTTCCTGTGTTATTCTGAAGCAGACCCCAGACATCAGATCATTTCATCTGTAAATATTTGTGTGTCTCTCGAGATAAGGACTTTTAAAAACATAATCACAATGCCATCACTGCACTTAATAAACATTAATTTAATATTGGGCTTACCTGGTGGCTCAGACGGTAAAGAATCCACCTGCAATGCAGGAGACCCAGGTTTGATCCCTGGGTCAAGAAGATCCCCTGGAGAGGGGAATGGCTACCCACTCCGGTATTCTTGCCTGGAGAATCCCATGGACAGAGGAACCTGGTGGGCTACAGTCCATGGTGTCACAGAGTCAGACACGACTGAGCAACTAACACACACACAATTTAATGTCACCAAATGTAGGCAGTGTTCAAACTGTCTCACAAATATGGTTTGTTTATCTGAGTTTAGGGGTTGTTTGAACCAAGGCCCAGATGAAGTCGTCCTGCCCTTGGTTGCTTTGCCCTTGAGGTTTTTCTTAATCTGGGTTCCTCCTTCCTCTGTATCAGGTTTTGCCCCCCTTGCAATTCATCGGTCCTAGAAGCTATGTCATCACTTCTGGATTTTGCTGACTGCATTTCCCCCTGGTGTTGTTTAGCATGTTTCTCTGTCCTCTGTATTCCCTATGAATTCATAGCTAATCCAGAATCTGCTCCAGAGCATTGATCAGATTTAAGTTCAATTTGTCTTGACGAGATTGCTTCAGGGCGCACTGTATCCTTCCACTGGGAAGTTTTTCTCTGGACATCTCTGTTGATGCTCTGTGCCCACAGCCATCCATTCAGTAGGGAATGCTACATGATGACTTTCTACTTCTATCTTTCCTTCTTCAATTAGCAGCTGGACTGTTTCTATAAAAAGAAACATCCCCTCATCAACTGTTGGTTACCTGGAGGTATGCTTTATATAGGACACACAAGACAAATGCTTGATTCTTTCCCTTTATTTACTGGTTTCAGAATGATGAGTTGCCTATAAATATTTGAATGAACAAATGAATAATACATGTGTGGATGAATTGACAGGGGTTTGGGAATCAGGACTTCTTTCTGCCCTCAAGGGCACGGGTGTGGGCCACAGCCAAGAGCAGGGGTGCCACCTGGGGCCAGGGCCAGGTCCAGGTCCATGCAACCAGGGGCAGGTAACTCTTGCTACCTGTTGACCACCACAGTGATCCAAAGCTGCATTACTAAAAATACAGCATCTGGGACCACCCCGTGAGAGGCAGGAGCCAGGAGCACCTCTTTCTGGAAGGACTGAGAATGGTGTGTCAGGGGTACTTGTCCTAAAGGAGAGTCTTGGCAGGTTGGATGGATGGCCTCAAGGGTCCCTTCCCGGCCACCGCTGACACTGTCCCAGCCCTTCAGGGAGCCGGAGCAGCCGCCTACCCGCTCACTGATGCCTTGCCCCCTCCGTGTCCCCCCAGGTGCAAGTGCAACCTGCACGCCAACCTGTGCTCCGTGCGCGACGGCAGCCTGCAGTGTGAGTGTGAGCACAACACCACGGGCCCCGACTGCGGCAAGTGCAAGAGGAGCTTCCGCACGCGGTCGTGGCGCGCCGGCTCCTACCTGCCGCTGCCCCACGGCTCCCCCAATGCGTGTGCGTACGCAGGCTGGCCACTGCACTCGGGCACCCCCCGCCCCTCCCCACCTCAGACCAGCAAGGCTGTGGGCTCCTGCGACCTTCAGCCTCAGGAGCTGTGGATCTCATCATGAACACGCATGCACACACACTTACACAAAGATGTGCACACAAACATGCATGTGTGCACAGACACACATGTGCAAACACATGCACATATTTGCACAAAGGTGTGTGCACAAATATGCACACGTGTACACATGCATGCAAACACACATGTGCACAAAGATTTGCACACACAAACATACATATGTGCATGCATAGACACATATGTGAACAACATGCACACACTTGCACAAAGATGTGTGCATAAACATGCATGCACAGACATGTGTGAGTGCATGCACACACACTCGCACAAAGATTTGTACACATGAACATGCACACACACATGCACAGACTCACATGCACACATACACAAAGGTGTGCACACACAAACATACATGCACGCACACACATGGACACACACACAAACATGCACACGTGCATGCACAGATACATTTGTGAGCACATGCACAGATACTCACACAAAGGTGTGCACACAAACATGCATGCACTGACACGCATTTGTGATCACATGGATACACACTGGCACAAACAGGTACACTCTTTTTAACCAAGCTCCTAAGTGCCAGGCCTTGTCATCAAGGCCCTCTAGCATGCCTGCATCCTGCTGGGAACCTGAGATGAGCTGACTCAGCATCCTTCTCACTGACCTTCCCCTTTGTGACCCCCAGGCAGGAGAGAAGGCCCACAGGGAGTCAGGGAGGGGTGGGCGGGGACCCCTCCCTCCAGGCTGACCGTGAGGAGCAGCACCATCCCTTGTAAATGTCCCAGTGTTTACGGGACATTTACAGGTGCCGCATGGCACCAAATGCTACCGAGTCCCCCCTCAGCCCTCCGCTGGCCCCCGGAAGTCGGTCTCCTGTTATCCCATTTCACAGAGGGGTCCTCCGAGGCCCTGGCCATGCAGTCTGCACGGTCCACTCCTCTCTTGACTCAGTTCCAGAGTCCATCCTCAGGGTGTGCCCTCACACACCTGCCTCGTGAACACACTTTCCCCCCGTCATCAGCCCCCAGCACAGTCACTGGGTGTCTCCTTGAAATTGAGTCCCAGGGAGCCCCCAGCTCTTGTGGATAAGGGCCCAAGCTGGTCCAGGGTGAGCTCTCCCCAGCCAACTCCCGCCCCCGCACCCAGTCACTTGCTGACACTCGGCCAGTGCTTTGACAAGGAGGCTGCACCAGGTACTTTAGGTACAGCTTCTCTGCCCTCTGATTACCCCTCAGATAGTATTTTCATTATGATCCCACTCTCCAGATGAGCAAACTGAAGCCCAGCGACCCTCGGGGCCCTCCTAGTTAGCAGCAAGTTAAGCGCCAGCAGTGGAGCCGGTGCCTAAGCCAGGCTGGGCTGCCGGGACTACTCGGCCCGCCCCTCCTGGGCACACTCTGGAGCCCTTCCATTGGCACCCCGCAACCGAGCGGTGAAAGCTTTATGTAACTCGAGGCTGATCAAAGCCGGAAGCCTCATGATGAGGCTGTGACAGTATGTCGTGTGTGTGTTGGGCACAGCTCTCGAGGCCTTTGAAGGGTGACTTACCGGAGTCGCAGCCCCCACGCGGGCCTTCAAAGGCACAGAGAGTGCTCTGGGCAACCGTCCTGCCCCACCCGGAGGATGTCAACCCATCTTTGTTGCCAAAACCAGTTCTTGAGTTGCTGTCACCGCCCTCTGATTCGCAGGCTCACCTCCCTTCAACTGTCCTGCTGCCCGCCCCACCCCCTCTCTGGGCCCCATTCTCCTCCTAGAAGGATCTGTGAGATCCCCCGGCACCCACAGGCCGACACCCTTACCCGCAGGTCATCCTGTGGGCCCCCAGGCTCATCCCCCCAGGCTCCTCACTGTCCTGCCCCCAGAGTCACTGGGAGAGGCCCACACCCCAGCAAGCACCCTGGGGCTCCTCAAGCCCCATCCTTTGTCAGGACCGCCTGGAGGGGACACTGTGGCCCCGGCTCCTTGCTCCTGAGACTGGTGACTCCCACCCAGCTCAGACCGTGGCCTCGGGCGCCTGCAGCCCCAGAGCACAGACGCACACAGACAGAAAGGACCAGGTCAGAGTCAAGCCCCTGCCACTCAAAACTCTGAGGCCTCGGACAAGCCGTCTCTCCCTCTGAGCCTTTGTTCATTTGTAGAACCAGGACCCTAGAAGCCTGCCCTAGGGCTGTTGTGAACTATAGCCTGCCAGGCTCCTCTGTCCATGTCTGGAATTCTCCAGGCAAATGAATCCTGGAGTGGGTAGCCATTTCCTTCTCCAGGGAATCTTCACGGCCGGGGATTGAACTTAGGTCTCCTCCATTGCAGGATGGATTCTTTACAGGGAAACCCAAATTATAAAGTGCAAGTATTAGTTGCTCAGTTGTGTCCAACTTTTTGCTACCTCACTAGGCTCCTCTGTCCATGGGATTTCCCCAGGCAAGAATACTGGAGTGGGTTGCCATTCCCTTCTCCAGGGGATCTTCCAGGGATCGAACGTGGGTCACCTGCAGTGCAGGCAGATTCTTGACCATCTGAGCCACCAGAAAGCCCTGAGCCCTGAATGGCCCAGGTGGGGGCGGTGCTCAGCATGGGCCCACGTGCAGAAAGCCCTCAGCACGTGACAGCCGCTGTGATCACCTTCCCGTCAGCCCCGCAGGCATCCCTGCGTGTCCCAGATGGGAGGAGGCACGGCAGCTTCCCCCTGTGGCAGCTTCCATCAGAGCCTCCAGTAAACCAGTCTGTCCCTGTGGCTGGGACCCTCATGTTCTCCGACACCCCATTGCCCCCCAGAGAATGACCTCCCGCCTCTTTGCCTTGCACTGGAAGACCTGAGAGTCTAAAGTCAGATGAGAAGGGTGCATGTGAGGCTCCCAGCAGAGGCTTATCAGCAGGTCCCCTGATGGGGTAAGTCACAGCTCTGAGACTCAATGGGCTCAGAGCAGCCCTTCCGTCGCAGGCACGGGTGAGAATATAGTGGAGAATCAGACCCAGTCCCTGCATGGTGAGGTGCCCTGGCCCCCCTGATTTCCTGTCCCCAGCCCTGCCACCCCCTCCTTACTCTGCTGTGACCGCCCCTCTTTCCGCAGGTGCCGCCGCGGGCTCCGCCGTCGGCAGTAAGTACACACTGGGGCCACCCGTCTGGGGAAGGTGCCTGGGGCCCTTGGTGCCCGAGCCTCTCTGCACGTCCTGGAAAGAGCAGGAGAGGAAAGATGGGACTTTCCTGTCCTTCCCTCCCCAGGTCCACCCCCTCCTCCGATCCATTTGCTTCTGCGCCCTCCTTCCTTCCTTCCTGTCTCACAAGCCCTTCCCTCCAGCTTCTTGACTGGTGCTGCTTTGGAAAGATCCCCTTGTCCCACCCCCGCCGGGAACCCCCACTTCTCCCACTCCTGCCAGCCAAGAATGGGGGTCACCTTCCTTGACCGGTGGCAGAAGCCACCCCAGTCTGATCACGGGGTTTGGCCTCCCTCTGGGCAGTCCACAGCTATCACATGGCAGCTGCTTGCCTGTGGGGAGTCTGGGCGAGGTGAACCAGGATCCCAGATGCAGGGAGGCTGGGGGAGGTGACCCAGACCCCCATGTGTCCAGGTCAGCTCAGGCCCCAGAGCAGTCAGACTGTCTAAAGGAGGGTCTGGGCGTCCCAGGGATTCAACAGGGAATGTGAGGGAGGGTGGGAGGGGGTGACTGACCGACTATTGTTAAATCATCATCAAACATGCACGGTGCCGGGCATCAGATAAGCAGGATCCTCGTACTATCTCATCCCATCCTTGCAATCAGCACCCCCAGGTGGGTATTGCCATCTGCTCTCAGATTCAGCAGGAGAGAACTTGCCAGAGTCAGCCAGCCAGCCAGCGGCAGACCCCAAATCTCAGGCTTCCAGGGGCACCCCCCCACCCCCCCGCCATGGCTCTTTGGGGCCAAACTCAACCCCCGTGGGACACCAGTGGGCAGAGAGGGGCCAGAGGGAGCTGGATTTAGAGGGGACCCTGGTCCCCCCCAGTGGAATAGTAAGCTGTTCGTCTGCCTTGGCCCCCCGCCACTGACCCCCACCCGTACCCTCTCTCGCTTTTCTCATCTCTCACCAGGCATCAGCAGGTCCCGGAAAGACCGTGTCCCCAAAGTCCCTGTGGCCACTGAGGCCATTAGGGGGGACCCCGCCACTCCTATCCCCCCAGCATCCACTGCCTGGGCCCCCGGGGCCCCCAGCACCCTACAGCCCACAGGTGGGTGCCCAGCTGCCCTGCCCTTCCCCACTTCTTGCCCCGAGTCCCTGCCCCTCTCTGCAACGTGGGGGTATCAGCTCTGGGGAGGGCAGGGGCTTGGCTTTTAGAGTAGGGGATGCTAGATCCACAGTTGCGAGAACACGGCACCTGGAGGCCTCCAGGCTGTCTGGACCTCCTGTCGCTGGGGTCCAGCCGGGGCGCCCAGAGCTTGCAGCAAGCCCCTGGGCCCTCTTCCTCCTGTGCCCCCCTCCCTAGGCACTGGTCAGCGTCACCCAGAGAGCCCAGGGAGCCAGCCCAGGCCCTGCCCCTACAGCCATGCCAGCCCCCCGGCCCTGCCCCTGGCGGCTGACCCCTAGGAGATAGACAGGGCAGGGCTAGCTGAGCAAACAGACTCCTCAAATCAGCAGGGTGGAGGGGATTGCTGCCTTGAGCTGCACAACCTCTGAGCTGGGCTTTTAGACTGTGGACTGCTGGGCCTTTGGGGGCGCAGAGTGCGGGGCAGAGCCAAGCCAGGGGTGTGTGGGAGGCTTGGGTGCTGGGGCGGCCATCTGGTCTCCCTGGGGGAGTCCAGCCAAATCCTGCCTTCTGGGAGTGCCAGGAGTTGAAAGGACTCACCCTCCCCCAAGGGTAACAGGGAGATGTGGTCAAGGCCCCTGGTTCCATCGTCCGGGGCGGGGTGTCCCCACTGTGCGCCCCCACCCTGTCCCACCCCCCCTGCAATGAGGAGGTGGCAAGGTGGGGGTCTCCCTACTCCTCGGGCAGTGCCATGACCCTTCCTTTCTCTTACGTTCACGGACCCCTGAGGGGGTGGCATTTAGAGTGGGCAGAAGCCCCTCTGTCAGCGGGGAGGGGCCCCCGACTCTGGCCTCAGCTTATTGTGGGGGATGGCGTTCAGCCCTCTCCCAGCCGCGGGCAAGTGCCCGCGCCCAGCTCCTCCACGGGACCAGAGGCTGACACACCACATGTCTTTTCTTTCTGTCCCGCTCCCTTCTCCACGGGAGGCATTTGCCCGGGTGGGGCGGGGGAAGGGGCCTGCTGGGAGATCCGAGGGTTTCAGGCTGGCCTCCTGGCCCAGGAATCTCTTTGGGTGGAGGACACAGGTCACTGGGAGTCCAGGCTCCGGATGTAAGTTGGGCCAGCCTCCTGAGACTTCGCACTTTTTTTTCTTCTGCTGAGTCTGTGATGGGCAGACAGGACCAAAAATAGTCGTGGTGGGTGCCATGTCTGCCTGCAGGTGGTGATCTCTCTGGGTGGGAGGCCAGACATACACACGCACATGCACACACACACATGCACACACGCACACGCACATTGAGGAACCCGGACTCCATTTTTGGAGCTGCTTCTGACGCGGGACACGGGGTGCCAACTGCAAAGCTAGGAATTAAGGAGAGCGTCAGTCAGGCCGGTGACCTGGATGAGGGGAGGTATGAATCATGAGGGTCCCCAGGACTCTGGTGGAAGAAGGAGGCACCCCTCCCACCCTTCCCTCCCTGGACTGTTGGACATCCAGAAAGGTCAGGGTGCTCTTTGCCTCTTGAGTCCAGGGCTGGGCTGGAAGCCCAGTCCCAAGCAGCCCATGGCTTAGGGGTCATCAGTCCTCTCTAGGACCTGAAGCCCATGCCTGGGCCCCCGTGATGCCCCCCACCCCCTGCCACTGATAATGACATTCACTGTGGCGGGTGGAGACTGGGTGCCTCCCGGGCTAGGGCTTGTAGTGGATTCCTGGTTCGCAGCCCTGAGAATGGGGACTGGGATTTTCCTAGTCCCCCCAGGTGAGGATATTAACGCTTAGGAAGTAGCAGCTGGGTTTTTATGGTATGTAAATGATCCCTCAATAAAGCTGTTTTCAAAAGAAAGACGTAGTTGCTCAAGGAAACAAGACAGGTCCTGACCTTGGGGCTCACTGACTCCTGACGCTTTCTGCCCGCTCAGCTGCCCAAAGCCACCGTCCTGAGACCTTGGGGAGCTGTGAGGTGGTGCTGCCTTTAAGGCCAAGTTTGCACAGCTCCCCAGTTTTGAAGGAACAGATGGGCATCCATCTGGCCTTGGCAAGCAACACGAGTCACTCTGAGAAGACTCTTCCGGCACACCTGAGTGCATCCCTGGAAAGTCCAGTCTTTCCCACCCCCAGGCCACCAGAAAGGTCCTGATTCTCTCCAGGTGCCTCCCAACAGGTGCTTCGGGCTCTTTGGCCCGAGTCCAGCTGGGCCTGTGGACCACTGGCCCGCATGTCTCTCCCTGCTGTCAAGCTGTCCTGAGGGCGGGGGCTGCCGGCAGAGAGGCTGTTCAAGACCACTAACCCTGTCCCTAGCGTGGCTGTGGTGGGGTGGTGGGAGCGAGCCTGCAAAGCACCATGCCTTCAGGGCGGGTTTATCGCAGCCCTAATTAAGCCCTTGCCAATTTGAGTCCCGAGGCCTCTTCTCATTGAACATCCCATAAATGTCAATTTCACATCCAGAGGCTCCGGGCTCCCAGCTGGAACATCCCCCGCACTTTTTAGCTGGTAGATTTTCTTTCTCTTTCTCCACCAACTGGCATCATGCGTAATCCTTTTAAGAAGCGGAAAATATCCAATTTCTCCCCTTGTCCCTCTGGGTTTATCCTTTGAAATTCGGCGCAGAGTGATTCTTCAGTTTCTCGTCTTGCCAGCCCTGCCCGCATCACCTACTGTGGGTCCAGTTAGTCCCAGAGAAGGGCAGTGTGGCACTTGGGGGCTGACTCATATTGGGGTCCCTGGTTAAGATGGGCCCAATCTAGGGCTCAGGGAGGATGCTCCGGTTGCTGGATTGGGGTTGGACCGGAAGCTTTCAAGGACCTTCTCTGGGCATGTTTGGTGTCTTGGCCAGAACACACACATGCCCTTTACAGCCATGGGCCAGAGACCCCGATATAGGACTCCATCTAACTCCAGCCTTCATTCAGAACGGAAGCCACGCAGGGAGGGAGCTCCAAGGATGAGGGATCCCACTGAAGAAAGGGCTGTCCAAAGTATGCAGATTCTCAGGCAGGGGTCCCTGTTCCATCCAGCATCCCTGCGCCCTTCACAGGCTGCCTTAGCATAGATGCTGCCTCTCCTATAGATTTGAACCCAGTTCCATTTGGCCGCTGTAGACAGAGCCGCTTCTTAGAGTGCTGCTTCTGTAAGGCGCCTGCAGGGGGTGATGCCTCAGGAGGTCCCCGGGACAGCCCCAGCCCCTCGCATGACTTGGTTTTTCCTCTTCTCTCCCCCAAGAGTGGAGCAGGCCATCCACCACTGCCCCGCTCTGGGCAAGTGCCCCTTGGCCCCCGGTGTCTTCCAGTGCAGAAGGTATGGGGGAGGCGGGGTGGGTGCTCCTGAGACTCTGCAGTGGAGGGATCAGGGCCATGGGGTGGGAACCCCGGGTGGCAGGGGGCCCCCGAGGGCGGAGGGGAGGGGCCTTGGAGCTCTACTCCGCACCCCCAACCCCAGCTACTTAGCCAGTGTGACGTCATCACACCCGACCCCTGGCAGTCCTGCACCCCAACCCCCGAGGGCTCCCAAGCCCAGTGGAGACCCTGTCCTGAGAACAATAATGCCCTGAGGCTCAAGAGTCAGAGAGGGCTGCCTGCAGGGGCTTGGCTCTTGAGTCGGGAAGATCCGCTGGAGGAGGGTATGGCAACCCACTCCAGTATTCTTGCCTGGAGAACCCCATGGACAGAGGAGCCTGGTGGGGCTACAGTCCATGAAGTCGCTTCTAGGGGAAGGGGGATGGTAGCCTTCCAGGTGGCAGGACCAGCTGCGGCAAAAGCTTGGTGGTGGGATGCCAGGGAGCGGTGGCTTCCCCAAGCGGGACCTGGGGAGGGCTTGGGGGGTCGTGCTGAGACCAAGCCCAGAGCCTCATTCTCCCATTGCATTGGAAAGAAACTCGTGTGGGCTCGAGGGCTCGTTTGCACTTAGAGTGGACACACCCAGGAAGCACACAGGGTCTGCCTGAGTCTCCACGATGGGACGCTGTCCCTGGTCCCCGCTCACTGTTCCCTGGACGGTAGGACCTGATGCCTGGCTCCGGCGGTAACCCCTCCAGCACCTCCAGTTCCCTCCCGCCGGCTGTGAATGGTGAGCAGGGCTTTGCGCGCCCCCTGCTGGTGAGTGGTTCCGGAGGTAGACACAACTGGGGAGGGTCTGCGGTTCCCCGCAACCTGGAAATCTGAGTCCGGGGTCGTCCTCCCGGCGATGGGGAGCCGGCTGGAGCAATCACTTCTTGGCCCTGGGCCCACTGGGGCACCACGGCCTCCCAGGGAGAAGCCGAAGGGACCGTGGAATGCTCCCCCACAAATAAAGGGCTGGGGTTCTGGGCAGTCTGTGCTGCTGGCTAGATGGCTCCGGCCAGTGGAAGGCAAAGGAGTCGCCCTGCCTGGAGCAGGGAGCTTGCTTCAGAAAGGAAGTGCTCAGTCGCTCAGTCATGTCTGAGCGACCCCATGGACTGTAGCCCGCCAGGCTCCTCTGTCCATGGGATTCTCCAGGCAAGAATACTGGAGTGGGTTGCCATTTCCTCCTCCAGGGGATCTTCCCGGCCCAGGAATTGAACCTGCATCTCTTGCTTTTCCTAGATTGGCAGGCAGGTTCTTCACCACTGAACCACTGGGAAAGGAAGGGAGATGCCCAAATCTTGCATGCCAGGTTCACACTCTGGACTTGACCCTCACAGAAGTCCGGAGAGGAGCAATAGTTCAGGGTGTCCAAAGTGGTGTTTTTCAACCACTCAACAAACTGTCCAGCTTCAGCAAAATGTTTAGCATAGAGTGAGAGATGTCAGAGAATAATGTGGGAGGATTAATCCAGCCGAATTGATGGTAGGTGGTCTCCGAGGGGGGACCAAGGGCACGCCGGGTTCTGCATGCCACTGGTTGTGCTGTGTCATCTCAAATCTGAGCAGGTGACAGAGTTGCTCCAGAGCTCTCCCAGGGCACCCTGGAAGCCTCTACTGGGCTTTATCTGGGCAAAGACAGCCGACCTGGGCAGCTGGGCCACGGCTGATGAAAGAGCTTGTTTCTCATCTCTCCAAGCTGCGGGCACCTCCACTGTTGCCCCCGCCCCCACCCCTGCCAAGGCCTCCAAACTTTTCCAGCTCAGGCCCAAATCTCCTCAAGTGATGCCTGTTGAAGAATTCGAAGGTAAGAGGAAGGCCCTGGGGTGGATCAGCCCTCCTCCAGCATTTCTCTCCCTACCTCCACTGGAAAAAAAAAGTGCCAGATGAGGACCAGTGATGCCCGGCTCAGAAAACCCTCCCAGAGTAGCTGGGTCACGGTGAGATGGAGCCTGTCTCCCCTCCGGTCCTCCCTCCCCAAGGGAGCTGGGGGCAGGCAGGAGTCAGAAGCACAGTGGGCAGGCACAGGGCAGGCAGAACAGCTGCCAGAAATAGCCTGTCCTGGCTCCCCTGGGAGGTGTGGCCCAGGGGCTCATCTTGGTGGAAGCAAGATTGGGGACACGGGGTCACCGACAGCGCTCCTTGGACACCTGGAGGCTGTCTCACCTTCTCACTGTCCCTGGAGGGACGTGACGGGAACAGGAGGCCATGGGGCGGGAATGCCACCCAACTCCTCCTGGGCACAGCACAGAGCTGCTTTTCTCCGAGGCCTCCCGTGTCCTTGGCCCTGACACCTGGTCAGCCCTCCCCTGCCGTCACAAAGGGAAGAGTGGCTCCCCTAGAGACACACAGACAGTGTCCCACAGAGGGCACCCTTCCTTGTTCAAGGGGATGCCAAGGGACGGCCCCCATCTGTGACAGGGAAGCTGACCCTCCTCACCAAACTCTGCCTCCTCGATGACATCATGGGAGCCACCTCCAATCCCTGGGGGCCTCGCCTCTAGGGGTCACAGGTGGCTCCAGTGAGAGTCAGAGGCTGGGCCAGGGCTGGCCTTGGAGGCCAAGGCGAGACTCTCAGGGCACAAGCCTTAAGGCAGCATCTGCTGTCATGGTCATGCCAGAGCAGGCGGCCTGCTGCCAAGCACATCTGCAGAACAGCTCAGGCTAATGGGAAGGGGTCCTGAAGGTGGCTATTTCCTTCGAAGCATCTTCCAAAGCAGCACGGGGGGGAAGTTCCTGGTCCTTTCCACCCCTGGCGTACATGCATGCGTCTACCCTTCACTGAATCACTGGGATAGCGTGGTGAACACCATGTACCCAGGCACCGCCCTCCCTGAGCTCACCAGCTGGTGGCATGACCCATCCGCCCTGCATGGATCATTTCTAATCACCCAGCATCCCTCCGGAGAGCGCTTCACCCTGGTACCCAGCCAGGGCTTTACCCAGCCAGGGCTTTAGCGCGTGCTCTCCCTGCTGCCCTGCCCACGGGACCAGGTGGGAATTTGTGGGCCAGGCCCATGCTAGTTCTCATTCGGGTTCAAAGCCAGCAAGACCATCTCTCCCCAAATGGTACAGGAGTGTTGGAGGCCCGGGGCACCTTCCTGTGACAGGTCCTCCCCGCCCCGCCTCAGTTTCCCTGACTGCATGGGGGAGGGGCGCAGGAAGGCACCGTCTCCATTTGCCCTCTGACCCTTGGTGTTTCTCACGCCCTGCCGGCCCAGACTGCGAGTGCTACGGCCACTCCAACCGCTGCAGCTACATCGACTTCCTGAACGTGGTGACCTGCGTCAGCTGCAAGCACAACACACGGGGCCAGCACTGCCAGCACTGCCGTCTGGGCTACTACCGAAACGGCTCTGCGGAGCTGGACGACGAGAACGTGTGCATCGGTGAGCCCTCGGCTGGCATGTGGGGGGCACGGGGGCGCAGGGCGCCAGAGCAGCGTTAGATGGAGTCTGGAGACCCCTGCATTGAAACCCCCGGGGAGCCTGGTGGTGGTCATTGTTGTCCAGGCGCTCAGTCGTGTCTGACTCTTCGCGACCCCACAGACTGCAGTACACCAGGCTTCTCTGTCCTTCACTAACCCCTGGAGTTTGCTCAAACTCATATCCATTGAGTTGGCAATGCCATCTAACCATCTCATCCTCTGTCAGCCCCTTCTCCTCCCGCTTTCAATCTTTGCAAGCGTCAGGGCCTTTTCCAATGAGTTGGCTCTTCGCATCAGGTGGCCAAAGAACTGGCACTTCAGCTTCAGCATCAGTCCCTCCAGTGAATATTCAGTGTTGATCCGGGAAAATTCCAGTTCCAGGGCCCACTCCAGCTGGGTATCTCTAAAGGCAGAAGCCTCCAGAATCTGCTCTATTGATAAGTTCCCCATGTGGTTCTCCCCGCAGGCACTGGAGTTTCAGAACCACGCGTTCGAGCCAAAGACAGGGCCTAGGGCTTGCCTGGCTGTGTGGTGGTGGTGGTTTAGTCCCTAAGTTGTGCTTGACTCTTGCGACCCTGTGGACTGTAGCCCACCAGGCTCCTCTGTCCACGGGATTTCTCAGGCAATGCTGGAGGGGGTTGCCATTTTCTCCTCCAGGGGGATCTTCCCAAGCCAGGCTATGTGCGTTTCAGCAATTCTCTTCCCCTCTCTGGGCCTGTTTCCCTGTTAGTAAAGTGGGAGATGGATCAGATCAAGGGTTTTTCAACCCTTCTTGGGGAACTGATGCTTTTCTTCAAATGAATTTTCTTTTGTGCTTTATAAGCCCTCCACCCCCCAGTGAGCAAATGGTCTGCTTTCTTTACCCTCTGCACCAGGCCTGGCTTTTGCAGTAAAGAAGGAAATAAATCTACAAGGAGCCAGGCCCAGGGCCTGGGCCCAGGCAGGGGCAGGCCATCCCCAAAAGTGGGCCCCATGGCCTGCAACCGGCACCCACTAGACTGGAACGCTGTCTCCTGTAGAGGCCAGTTCTCAGCTCTGGGATGCCCAGCGCCCTGGGGAACCGCACTGTCCATGCCCCGCCCAGCAGGCCTGCCCAAACCTGCAGCTGTCAGTCTGACTTATGGCAGCGGCCTTCAGATAATTCCATCAGCTCTCAAGTGATCCCAAGGGAACCGTGCAGCCCATGTCACACTGGCCAGTCTCGGGGAACGGGGAGGGGCCTCTGGATCCGCTTAGAGGCGGTCCTCCCCGCCCCCAGCACCTCCTTTTTCCTTGCCTGTTTGCCTCCACCCCCGGCCCAGCACTAGGCGACAAGGACACCCAGCGTGGGGGCGTTTGCCTCCCCCAGGGGGCAGAGGCCCCAGGAAACAGACTGGGAAGGGGCAGGGTGAGGCTGGAGGCACTGGAGGAGAGCTGTGGATGCCCGCTACACCTGCCCGTCACACAGCCCGCGGGTCAGATGTCAGGTGGCCTCGATGAGGCCCCGCCCACCTGTCAGTCACCGCTCTTCGAAGCTGGGGTGGATCAGCGCCAGCCCCAGTTACAGAAGCGGGGGAGACGGGCCCAGAGAGCGGAAAGGGCTGGCCCAGGCCACATAGCGCCAGGGCCAGAAAGAGGGAAAGGAGCTGCCTGGATGGGAGGAACTGCCGTCTTCCCTCGCGATCTGGACACCCCAGGCAGCCCTCACCTCACCGTCCAGCCGCAGATGCAGAGATACGATGGGGAGGGTGGCGGGGTCTGGCGAGGTGGGTCCATGCGGACAGCGCCCACAAGTCACCCTGATCACTCGCCGTGCGACTGTCGGTCCAGAGTGTAACTGCAACCAGATCGGCTCCGTGCACGACCGGTGCAACGAGACCGGCTTCTGCGAGTGCCGCGAGGGCGCGGCGGGGCCCAAGTGCGACGACTGCCTCCCCACGCACTACTGGCGCCAGGGCTGCTACCGTGAGTGCGCGCCGGCCCGTGGGAGGACCCGGGGCTGTGGGGCCCGGGGCGGGGCCAGTAGGTGGGTGGGGCCTGATGCTGCGAGGCGGGGCCAGTAGGTGGGTGGGGCCTGATGCTGCCGGGGCCAGTAGGTGGGTGGGGCCTGATGCTGCGGGCGGGGCCAGTGGCTGGGCGGGGGCCTGATGCTGCCGGGGCCTGTAGGTGGGTGGGGCCTGATGCTGTGAGGCGGGGCCAGTAGGTGGGTTGGGCCTGATTCTGCGGGGGGCCGTGGGTGGACCGGGCCTGATGTTGTCAAAGGCGGGGTCTGGGTGGTGGGCGGGGCCTGATGGCAGAGAGGCTGTCCAAGGAAGTGATGGGCTGGCGGAGACCCGATGTTAGCCACGGGAAGAGGGTGGAAGGGCGCCCCAGGTACTTGGACCGGCACCTGCTAAGCACTGGATGCGGGAGAGCAGGTGCGTCTGAAGAACCACCAAGGCCAGTGCCCGGCGGCAGGGGCGGGAAGGGTAGGGAGGCAGGGGCCAGGGCTCCGCCCTTGAAACCATAACCTCAGGGACGGCTCGCACCAAGTCCGCCCTGAGCCTCCAACACCGCCCGGTCCCGGCCGCTCCCCCAGGATTCGCACGTCCCAGTCGCAGAAGCTCCAGCACGGGTGGTGGTGGTGGGTTCGGGGTGGACCAGACCGCCGCCCGCCTTAACCGCCCCTCCGCCCCGCAGCCAACGTGTGCGACGACGACCAGCTGCTGTGCCAGAACGGGGGTACCTGCGTGCAGAACCAGCGCTGCGCCTGCCCGCGCGGCTACACCGGCGCGCGCTGCGAGCAGCCCCGCTGCGACCCCGCCGACGCCGAGGGCGGCCTGGACTGCGACCGCGCGCCGGGGGCTGCCCCGCGCCCCGCCACCCTGCTCGGCTGCCTGCTACTGCTGGGGCTGGCCGCCCGCCTGGACCGCTGAGCCCCGCGGAGGGCACCCCGGGCAGGGTGGGGGCCAGTCCGCGCGCCCTGCGCCCCTCGCCCGGAGAGCGGGGGGGCCCCGGGGGCCGGCGTCCGAGGCCTGGCGGTGAGAAGGGTGCGGCCTGAGCTGCTCCCAGGTGCTACTCAGCAGAGTCCTCCCGCCCCGTCCCTCACCCCAGTGGCACCTGCCCTCGACCCTGCACTGCAGCGGGGGACGCTGTGGGGTCCTGGCCCCAGCGGCCTGCGATTTTGGTCTTAGTTTTTCTTTTATATCACCCACCGCCCCTTTCCTTTTTTTTTTTTTTTTTGCCGGCGGTGAGACAGAGGGTGGGGAGAAACGCTGATCACCCCACACCCTCAGATTCTGCCTCCTGCCACACACACGACTGTTGCAGACACCCCCAACGCCTGTCCCTGGCTCACCACCAGCCAGCGGACCCAAAGTCCAGTTGCCTACAACTCTAGTCGCTGACGATTCTCTTTTCTAGTCTTGGTTTTCCTTTGCAACCCACCAGACCCCAGGCCTTTCCAGAGGTCTGGTGACCAAGGAGTTCACTGTCTGGGGGAACGCAGTTAGGATAGAGGGTTGGGAGGGCCGGACACTTCCTTTTGTAGAGAACTATTTTTGTTTGTATTAACTGCCCCTATGAAGGAGGGACCGGGCTGGGATGTTGGTCACCATGGTGGGTGGTTGATGGTGTATAATCTGACAGTAAAGAATCTGCTCACTGCTGCCTCCAGGGCCTGTGTTCTTTCTGCTCTTTTTTTTTTACCCAGCAAGTGTGGAGGTGAAAGGGGAACCCACAGAAAAGCCTTAAAGAAACGACTTCACTCTCAAGGCCTGTCCCTTCCCCAGGCCCCTCTGTGAATGACAGGCAGGCGTGGCCAGCAGAGCTGTCTCACTATGTGGCCAGGCCTGGCCCTGCAGTGACCTCCAATGTTCCCCAAACTTGGGAGGTTGTCTCCCTCCTTTCCCTAAAAAGAAAAAAAATCCAAAGTGTATTGGCACTTTTCCTTAACTGTCTTTAAATTTAAAAGCACATGGTAGACAGGGATTTGCTGAGAAGTCCCAGTGAAGGGACTGGCAGAGCGGGGAACAGGGCTGGACGCCGATGATTCTATTTATAAACCGGTGTCGGAGCAGGTATCAGGCCCGCTGGACCCTCAGCTTCAGGCCCAGTGTCTGCAGCTGGGGCCGCGGCCTTCCGGCGCCCCCTGGTGGCCAGATTCCAAGATGGGCACAGGCTGAGGGAGGCGGAATATGACAAAGACCCACAGCCCACAATCCTCCCCTTTCATCTCCCTCTTTCCCTCCCGAGCATCAGTAACGGGACGGCCAAGGGGACCAGGGACAGCCTGGGAACTGTGAAAGGAAGCTCGGAAGAAAGGGGTCCCTCAGCTTAGCCCTGTGCTTCTGAGGTGCCTGTTGGTTTCTCTCTGGTCCTTGGGAGTTGGACTTCCCTGCTGTTTCTCAAGAAGCTCTGACTTTCCCTGGCCACCTGCTTACTTCCCAGCCGCCTCGGAAGATTCGCACCTGCAGTTACCCTCTGGCCGCAGCCGATCTTTCCAGGCTGGGACGTTTAACATAAAACTGTGTTCATTCCTCCTGCAAGTCCCCAGAGCAAAGCTCAGACGGAGTCTAACGAAACTTGCCCTTGCAGATGACAAGAGATACAACATGACCACAAGGGATATAAGATGTGTTTAGGGCCTCTCAGGGCCAAACAGCAGGCCCTTCTGGCCTCCCGATCTGTCTCAGCTCCCAACCCCAAAGTGCCTTCTGTCAGGTCCCCCGCGCCCCCTCGCCCTTACCATCCTCACTTTCAGTGACGAGCTCACTAGCTCAGTGGCTAGAAGAAAACACCCCTGGGGCACCCTGCGGCTGAGCGTGCTCGGGTGACCCAGTTCTGGCCAATGGGCTACAAGCAAGGGTGATGGGCGGGGCCTCCGGGAAGAGTCTTGGAAGCCTTTGTCTGCCTGCCTTTGCCTTCCTCCGCACCGAGCCTCAGTTGGCCAAGTATGGGGCCCATGCTTGCCTCTCTGGCCCCCTCTCCCTGATGCTCAGTCAGCATGGCTTGGGGAGCCGCCCGCTCGGGATGGTGGCACCCAGAAGGTGGAGGTTGGTTTTCTGAGGACCTAGCAGAGCTGGGTGACACCAGCCCTGGTTGCTCGCCTCTGCACTTAAATGTGTGACAAAAAATAAACCTTGATGTGATCAAAAACACTGGTCTTCGGGTTTTCTGCCACAAGCGGACTTACCAGTTCCTAAGTTACTGGCCTTTCCCACTCAGCATCTGGGTTCCTGAGGCCAGAGGCAGTGACACTAAAACGCTCCCAGCCACAGCCCCCAAGTTGCAACACTGCCCACGAGGAAGACAACAGGTCACAGCGCCTTTAGGCCCAGGAGTTCAGGGCCTCACTGTCTCAAGACCCTCTTTCCAGGACGGGAGTGTCCTCCACCTTCAGATGAGCAGGGGGTGGGGGTGGGGGCTTGGGGAGGATGAAGGGGAAGGGGGAGCAGGCGGAGCAAATCCGCCTCTAGGTAAACACCAGCTGCTGGCTGCGATCTGTAAGCAGCGGCTTGTCTTCCTCCTCCTCCTCGTGATGTTAACATAGGAAGGAGCCACAGTCATCACCCCTAAATACACACAGAGTCTTGGGTCCCTTGACAGAGCCAGAGCTTGAGACACGGGTTTGGAGCGTGGATTCATGGAGGGGGTGCTGTTCAGAAGAGGGATGAGAGGATTCGGATGGGGGCGTGGGGGCCCAGTGAGGATGCCTGAGGACGCACTGAGAGTCTGAGCAGATGCCCCATCTTGAAGCAAGGGGCAGGCTCATGTCAAGGGGCAGGCTAGATTTGGGGGCCCCAGTACAGAAGGTGGGCAGCTCTGAGTTGTATCGGGCATCACAGCATTGGAGGGCTGGTTCCCATAGACGGACTCTGGGCCAGGCATCAGCAGCTTCTACTGTGAACACACACACACACCTTGGTGTCACCCTGGGCGTGTCCCCAGGAATGGTCCTGAGGGGTCGGGGAGGAGGTGGGCAGAGCCCTGCCTGCCCTGACCCCTTTCAGCAGGGCCAGTGGCGCTGTGGCAGCTCCCCTGGGACCAGTATCTACACAAGCCAGGGCCAGGGAGGTGGAGCACGTGGTAAATCAGAGTGGCAGCCCTGGTCCCCCAGGACGCGGCCCAGGCCCTGACCCCGACCGGAGGCTGGACGGAAAGTTGCCAGCGGCCATTTGGAAAACTCTTGACATCTTCCAGGCTGCGGGGAGAAGGAGAAAGCAAGGTGAGCAGAGCCCGGAGTCACAGCCCGCCTCTTCAGCGGTGCTTCCTGGCCCCAGACCTCTGGTGTGAACATCTGGTTCTGAGTGGTCGAGAGGAGAAGGCTCCGCTTTCACAACGTGGATGGTGAGAGCACGGTCCGCGGCCCCAGCCCGTGCGTCCTTAGGATGCACTGTCACGAACTTCACCCTAGGACAGGACTCTCAGCCGCAGCGCTACCGACATTGGCAGCAGTGCCGGCTGGGGCGGGGGGCGGGGCGCAGCTGTGCTGTGCGGGTAGGATGTTTAACAGCATCCTTGGCCTCGAGTCTCCAGGTGACAGTCTCTTTCCCTCCCACATGGTGACAACCAAAAGTGCCTCCTGGCGTTGCAAATCGGGGGTGAAACTGTCACGGGTGGAGAATGTTCTAGGCGGAAAGACTGGTCTACCCAGTTAACAGAGAGGGAAGTGGAGGCTCTGATTTAGGAGGTAACTTGCCTGAAGTCACGCTTGCTAAGAAGCAGGGGCAGGAAGTGATTCAGGATGGCGAGAGTGTGAAGCTCAGGGCAGGGAGTGTCCACCCTGCAGGGCCAGCAGCTCTGGCCCAACCCCCTCCTCCGCCCCTGCAGCAGCTCCAGGGCAGAGCAAGGTGCCCTGGGGAGCCAGGTGTCATCCAAACGGCCTTGCTGTCAGGGGAAATGCCTTGCCCGCTGCCCCCACATGCCCCCTCTAAATAAGCAGGCCTGCTGTGTTGGCACTTTTACAGTTATGAGGCGTTTATGGGCACCTGGGGAGCAGTTGTGGGCATCTCCCCACAGGCCTGGGCAGGAAGAGCTGAGAGGGGGCTCCCCCCATGCCTGCACCCCTGCCCCAGCATGGCACCTCCAGCTAGGCCAGTCTCCCCCAGTCCCTAAGGGAGCCCTGCACATCTCAGGCCAGATGAGCAAAGGGTAAAAACCCAGGGAGGAGAAGCTTGACTTGTTTTAGTTTTTTTTATAAAACACAAATCACAACTTCAGGGAAGTTGGAAAAAACAGAAATGCTAGATAATAAGAATTTTTAAATTAAAATCACCCGCAATCTTCCATCCAAAACTAATAACCGTTAATATTTTCTGATGTGCATGTCCAGTTCCTTTCCATAAAACACTCCCCCGCCCCCACGCAGTTTGCCCAGCATTTGTTAAGACCGTGCTAAGCCCTGTGCTGAGGCTGAGGCAGACCCCGGAGATGAAGCTGAGAAGTGGACTCCAGTAATTAGAGCCATTTTACAGCTGAGAACACTGAGGCTCCACAAGTGTCTTGGTCGGAGATCTTGGGCACAGCATCAAAAGTCGACTGGGCAATATAAGTTGAAAAGATGATTTGAAAGATCACAGGACCCACATGGGACTTCCCTGGCAGTCCAGTGGTTAAGACTCTGAGCTCCCAATGCAGGGGGCCCAGGGTTCAATCCCTACTCTGGGAACTAGATCCCACATGCTTCAACTAAAGATCCTGAATGCCGCAACTAAGACCTGGCTCAGTCAAATAAATTATTTTTTAAAAAAGGAGATGCAAAATCCCACCCTGTTACTTTTTGCCCCTGCCAATGACCCTCTTCCCCACCCACGGGTCCCCCCTCTACTCACACACGGCAGGGCCTCCCAGGCTGTGCTCCCCGAGACACAGAGGAACCTTGCGGTCTTGCCAGGTTGGGCCAAGGCTGGAGGCCAGGTGGGTGCATATGCATAGC